GCTTTCTCTGCCTGGACTCCATTTACACATTAAACGGGCGAGGGTGACTTGTGGGTTGCAGAGGTCAATGTAAATCGTTATCAATTAACAGATGCCCCTTTACAGTTATTACGCAGGGGAATTAAAGGGTTTCTTTCCCCCTACGCTGCCACCACCACCCTCCTCCTCCAGGGCTTCACTTGCTGCCTTCCCCCAATGCTCTCCACTTCCCACTTTGAACCTAAAGATACCCCTGTCCTCCAATTTGGCACAAGGGAGAGAGAGGATAGGAGAGACCTGAACATAGGGCAGGCCACCTAGGGCTGGTGGAGACATGGGTATTGGGACTGGCCGGGGGCAGGGGAATGCAGCATCTCTTGGGACTGGGAGGGAGGGAAAGGGGTTTGCCCGGTGATGCGAGGCCGGTGCCGCATGTGCCTATTTAAGGCCGCGAGCATTGACCACACGAGGTGGAGGTCAATGGCCAGAGGAGAGACTGAGGAGTAGGGCACTTGAAAGCGGGGGCAGGCAGCTGCTTTGGAGAATAAACTGTTTGGGGGCAAAATAGGTGCAGGAGGTAGTTGTTCGGTGGGTATGAGACAGACAGGGGAGTGGGTAAATTGGCGGGGAAGGAATACAGGCACAACAACAAAAACTCGCATTTATATTGTGCCCTTCACGCAGGGTAGCGTCCCGGTGCGTTTGACTCTGGCGGAGTCTGACCCCGAGCCAGGGGGAGGGTAAAGGGAGGAGGGGGTACAGGTATTGGGGAGGGGTAAAGAGGATGGGGAGGGGGAACAGGGAGGGGGAACAGGAGGCGGGGAGGGGGAATAGGGGGTGGGGAGTGGGAATAAGGGGCGGGACAGAGTACAGTGGGGCGAGGACGGGGTACAAGCAATGGGGAAGGGGTACAGGGGGGGTGAAGAGGGTGTACGGGGGAGAAGGAAGGGGTACACGTGACCAGGAAGGGGAACGGTACAGAGGAGGGGGTTACAGGGGAAGGGGTTACAGCGGGGTGAGGAGGGGGTGCGGGGGCTGAGGAGGGGGTGCGGGGGCTGAGGAGGGGGTGCGGGGGCTGAGGAGGGGGTGCGGGGGCTGAGGAGGGGGTGCGGGGGCTGAGGAGGGGGTGCGGGGGCTGAGGAGGGGGTGCGGGGGCTGAGGAGGGGGTGCGGGGGCTGAGGAGGGGGTGCGGGGGCTGAGGAGGGGGTGCGGGGGCTGAGGAGGGGGTGCGGGGGCTGAGGAGGGGGTGCGGGGGCTGAGGAGGGGGTGCGGAGGCTGGGGAGGGGGTGCGGAGGCTGGGGAGGGGGTGCGGGGGGTGAGGAAGGGGGTGCGGGGGGTGAGGAAGGGGTGCGGGGGGTGCGGAAGGGGTGCGGGGGGTGAGGAGGGGTGCGGGGGTGAGGAGGGGTGCGGGGGGTGAGGAGGGGGTGCGGGGGCTGAGGAGGGGTGCGGGGGCTGAGGAGGGGGTGCGGGGGCTGAGGAGGGGGTGCGGGGGCTGAGGAGGGGTGCGGGGGCTGGGGGGGGGGGGGGGGGGGCGGGGGCTGAGGAGGGGGTGCGGGGGCTGAGGAGGGGGTGCGGGGGCTGAGGAGGGGGTGCGGGGGCTGAGGAGGGGGTGCAGGGGGTGAGGACGGGGTGCCGGGGGTGAGAAGCATCTGCCGGGGGTGAGGAGGGGATGAGAAGGGGGTGCAGGTCTTGAGGAGAGGGTGTAGTGGGTGAGGAGAGGTTGCAGGGGGCGAGGAGGGGGTACAGGGGGTGTCACCACCACCCTCCTCCTCTTCCTCCTCGCCCCTGGTCAGTGCTCCTGCCTCAGGCAGCCCTGAGATACGGGGGTCAGTGCAGGGGAAGGGTCACCGTTACTGCAGTGAGTTTCTATCCTTATTGCTTTTAATTGATCCGCCTCGATTAATTCCTGTGACATTGCTGCACTTTAATATTTCTCCACCGTGGTGGTTTATTGCTTCATCTTTTATTGATTTGGTATTGCTCGCGCGTCATTGATTTTGATTGCTTCATCTCTATAGATTTCCCCCTTACTTTGCCTTCATCGATTTTTTATTGCTTTGCTCTCATTGATTTGTTATTGCTTCATCTCTATTGTTTGTTGATTGTTTCACTGTTTGCTTCTGACTTGTCGTTGCATTAATTTCTCCTGCTGTGTGTTTGTGTGTGTGTGTGTTTTTGTGTGTGTTTTTGTGTGTGTGTGTGTGTGTGTTTTTTTTGTGTGTGTGTGTGTGTGTGTGTGTTTTTGTGTGTGTGTATGTGTTTTTTTGTGTGTGTATGTGTTTTTGTGTGTGTGTTTTTGTGTGTGTGTGTTTTTGTGTGTGTGTGTGTGTGTGTGTGTGTGTGTTTTTGTGTGTGTGTGTGTGTGTGTGTGTGTGTGTGTGTGTGTTTGTGTGTGTGTGTGTGTGTGTGTGTGTGTGTGTTAGCCTCGTCGCTGACTGTCTTTCCATACGATAGATTTGCAATAAGCAAGTCGTGGTTACATATATGCATTCAACTTCTGCTCGGCTTCGTTTGCATGTCAACTGCATGTGCAAAGCCATCGTGGGGATTACCAACATGTCTTTGATGGGGGAAATTGGGATTGAATCAATGGTGACTGTTCATCGCGGGGTCTGCAGTGCGGACAGAGAGAGGACTGAGGGCATTCTCTGACACCTTTGAAATCAAGTGTCCAAGTCACAGGTGGTTTCCTGTCTCACTGGTGTGTCCCACAGTTTCCTGTTCCTGACACAACTCACACAGGTCTGAACCACACGTTTGGTTTTTGGTTAATTCACTCGTTTAAAGTGCCTCGAAACAGCGAAAGGGTGAAAAGAAAAGTTAGTTGGGGGCAAAGTTGCCCTGACATCTAAATATGGGTTTGCATTATTGTTGCAAATTGCTGTATAACTTTGTGTAAACTTCCCCAGGGCAAACAGCCACGATAAATAACCGTTTGGTTCCTCTTAAAACAAATGTAGACACTCTGTACCATCCGTTCGTGCTCAGGTTTCGTACATAAACACACTGGAAGGTTATAAACAAAATAGATTCTTTGGACGCGGACTCCCAAACGCTCGAGGAGGGTCGCAAACATCTCCCACCGAATAAAACAACATGTGCCACAGAGGTTAACGCTTGAAAACGTCCCCCCCCCCACCACCACCACCGAGAACACCGTGTGTTAGAGGGATAAAGCCCCGAAGCGACGAATTAAAGCGGGTTTCCCCCCCACACCGAGAGCACAGCACAGAGCGCTGAAACGATGACTTACTCGCCCAAGAATATTTTACACCGTTTCTGGTCTGGCGTCACATGTTTTATATGTGTATATATATATATATGTGTGTAATATATACATACATATAACTGAGACAGGAGAAGCAGTTTGGTGTGGGGGTGGGTGGGGGGTGTGGGGGTTACCAGGAGTACTGAGAACCAACCGCAAACACCACAGCACAACAGGATCCCATCTCCTGCAAATCCACCCGAACAGACCGAGAGGCGGAGCGGAGCTGCAAAGAGAGTCAGGTTCAGTCCCGGAGTGATTTCCACGATCCTCCGAAAAAATGCACATGACATAAATGTCGATTCTCAGCGGTTTGGCTGAGTCGAGGTGAACGGACGGGGGACCCCCAGTCCCCAGTCCCCCCCCACAACGGTTTAAATATAACTCACTGAGGGTTTACGTGGCGATCTTCGGCGTTTACCAGGAACGAAACCCGCAAAGTAACTGGTGATCTGAAGGTGGTTTCACACAACACCAACACCAACACCACCACCACCACCACCACCACACGCGAAAAAAAAACCTTAGTCCGTTCCTGTCGGGGATGGTTTTAAACCTATCTCCTGAATTATTAAAAAAAAACACAATAACACAATGTGTCGGGATGCGGCTGCGAGTAAAGCAAATGAAATTAAAATAAAACCACCCCCACCGCCACCACCTCCACCACCTCCACCACCACCGCCACCTCCACCTCCTCCACCATCACCTCGATGGCAACTCCAGGATTCAGATGGTTTGAAACCTCCCTTTGGGGAAAAAAAAGTCACCCCAACTCTCGAGGAGGCGATACGTGTCTTAACAATTCGCAATCACACACCACAAATAAAGCACAACTCACTCACACTCTCATACACACAACTCACTCACACTCTCACTCACTCACACTCTCACTCACACAACTCACTCACACTCTCACTCACTCACACAACTCACTCTCACTCTCACTCACACAACTCACTCACACTCTCACTCACTCACACAACTCACTCACACTCTCACTCACTCACACTCTCACTCACACAACTCACTCACACTCTCACTCACACACACAACTCTCACTCACACACACAACTCTCACTCACACACAACTCACTCACACACACTCCTCACTCACACACACTCCTCACTCACACTCCTCACTCACACTCACTCCTCACACACACACTCACACACACAACTCACTCACACACACAACTCACACACACAACTCACTCACACACACACAACTCACTCACACACACACAACTCACTCACACTCTCACTCACTCTCTGACAGAAAGTTTCCTGGCCGGTAACACCAACACAGAACGTTTCCCGACTCGTCATGACATATCTGCCTTCCCCTCGCAATTTAAAGTTTACAAACCAATAACACCAGTAGTTTTTTTTTCTCTCTCTCTCTCTCTCTCCCCCCCCCCTCCCCTCCCCCCCCCCCCCAAATTCCCTCAACACCGTTTTTTGGGGGTTAAAAAAAATAATAATAATTTAAAAAAAACAGCCATCACCATCACAACAGGTTTTTAAACAAAAAAAAACGTGTCCACAAATTGCTCGCTGGCACAACAGGACAGCAGAGCAGAGGCCTGACTGACTGACTGACTGACTGACTGTGCACTGCACTGTGTGTGTGTGTGTGTGTGTGTCACTGACCATCGTCGAGGACTGAACTTTCCAAATCACACAATAATAACGCACATGTCATCAGCAAACCGGGGGGGGGGGGGGGAGGGGGGTTGGTGTTTAAACTCACGTTTGATCTGCCTGGGGTTCCTCTGCTTTCGACGAGACATGGTCGGTCGGTCACTGCCAGCTGTTGCTATCAGGAAGGATCGATAGGCGTTAAGACATAAAGAGGGAGAGAGAGGGAGAGAGGGAGGGAGGGAGGGAGCGATGAGGAGGGGACACACACACACACACACAGATGCACCCCAGTGAGCGAGTGAGACACAGAGCAGAGAGGGAGGGAGGGAGGGAGGGGGGGGAGAGGGAGGGAAGGAGGGAGGGAGGAGGGGGAGAGGTGACTGGAGAAGTAGTGTCGCTGATGCACTCGCTGCTCTGAGGCTGTGGCTCCACTCACTCACTCACTCACTCACTGACTCTCTGCTGCTGCTGCTGGAGGTTCACTCTCAAAGCGCTTGCGCTCAGCCGCCGGCTCACCCTCTCCCTCCCTCCCCTCCCTCCCCTCCTCCTGCCTCGCACTCCTCTCTGTGCGGCACTCGCTCCAGTGCCTGCCCTGCCCTGCCCTGCCTGGCAGCCCTCACCGCCCAACCACAGCCCCTCCCCGCTCTGCCCCCTCAGCCCTGTCCCACTCTACCCCGTGTGTGTGTGGGTGGGTGTGGGGGTGTGGGTGTGGGTGTGTGTGTGGGTGTGTGGGGGTGTGGGTGTGTGTGTGTGTGTGTGTGGGGTGTGGGTGTGGGGTGTGGGTGTGGGTGTGTGGGGTGTGGGGGTGTGTGGGGGTGTGGGGGTGTGGGTGTGGGTGTGTGTGTGTGGGTGTGGGGGTGTGTGGGGGTGTGGGTGTGGGTGTGGGTGTGGGGGTGGGTGTGGGGGTGTGAGAGAGAGCGATGATGAGCCTCGGTCTCAGGGAACCGCAGAGCCCAAGACATTGACCAGAGAGACAGAGGCACAGAGAGAGAGAGAGAGAGGGAGAGCGGACAGACTTGCACAGGGGAACTGCTTGGCAAGTCTGAAAGCAGACCCCGTGGACGGCACTCGGCGACCCCCCCCCCCCCCCCCCCCCCCCTCCCCCACCCACACCCCCACCCACACACCTTCCAGAAAACCTGCGTTTATGAGTTAGACGGAGATGCACACTCAGTGGATGAGGGGAAACTTTGCAAACCTATGCAATCGCGACCCAGAGCTGTGTGTGTGTGTGTGTGTGTGAGTGTGTGAGAGAGAGAGAGATGGTGAGAGCAGTGGGCAATAGAGAAATAGATAACGGGGATGCAATGTAGCTCGTGTCCTCGAGCTTTGCACTCCCAGTCCCAAGTTAACCAACCGATCTACAATGTTATTTAATTTGGACGGGCAGTGCAGACTCACCCAAGTAACCGCTCAAAATTAACAGCTTAGAGATTAGAGAAGAAACTTTTGCGAAGGGACAGTCAGTGGGTGAACGTACGTGGGACCCGGTGTGTGGATTTAGCCACAGCACCAGTCGAGGACAACAGTGGTGGTGGTGGTGGATGATGGGGAGAGGGACTGAGATCGTAGGGATGAGCAGAAACACTCAGTAGTTTATGTGGGACACCGTTTGGCTCTGCAGTGATGTGACTTGAGACCAAGAGGACGACATTTGCAGAAAGTAACCAGAGAGGGGCAATCGGAAAGGAATGAATAGGTGCCCTGAAATACGTGTGAATGCCGTTGTGAGGTGACCAGGGATTTTGCTCCTTTTTTTCTCTCTCTCTCTCTCTCTCTCTCTGGGAGGAAGAACAAATTGGTGGGAAATAATCCACGTTTGCAATGCATTGCAAAATTGACCCGATGGGCCAAGTGCTGTTGTTTTGTCCCCCAATGCGTTTCCGTACGTTTTCATTCATCTCATTTCATGGAAGTTGCAATGAGTAATATCTATGAATTCTGATCAAAGACCCCATTGAATTTGCAAGAGCGACATACATACAGGTGGATTGCACCCGATTTAGTCTGTGCTAATACAGGTTTTTAAGATCAGTGTTACAGTTGTTTGCCCCAAGAATTTATCCAATCTACTGATCTACTTACCAACCCAACATAGCCCCTGCAGACCAGTGCTTTCTGAGTACAGTGCAGTCACCACACTTCGAGTAACCTGGACATTTCCATGTTACCACGAAATTGCCATATTATACCACGTTCACCTGTCAAAACAGTGATGTTTCGGTACACATCCCCTTCTGATGGTTGTTTAAGGGATTCGAGACATCAGACTTCAAGGTCAAAGGGAAATGCATGAAACGTCCTGACATTAAGCACAAGTAAAAACAGAGCATAGAACAAAAAGACAATTTAACTTGAGCTATTTCTTCTAGAGATCATCCTCGGTCTGCCCAATCATCATTTGTTTGCCATGTGTTCTTTTGTCTTACCTTTGCTTCCTTCTTTTATTCGTGGTCCTTTTCAATTAAAGTATGCAGAAAAGAATCTATTACTTGCATTAATTGGAACTTGCCCAATTGTGGATATGGAGATAATGTGGATCATGGGTCATCATGCAAAATACAAATTGGCTACAGTACTAAACAAAAATTCTTCCATCAGAAGGTAGACTGTCATTATAGTACCACACTGTGGCAGCCCTTGTTTCTTGCTTCCTCTTTCTTCAAGTGTTTTTTTTCCCTCTCTCTCCCTCTCTTTATTTCTCTATTTCTCCAATGTCCTCTTTATACCTGTCTGACTTTCTTTTACATCAGTCCTTCTCTGACTCTCTCTGACCCTTTACATTTATCTATTTCTCTCCTTTTATTTCTCTTTCTCCCGGTGTTAACCGTACTTGTTACACTGCACAATGACTCACTTCACATTGCTGTTTCACAGTTGCACTGTGTGGCTAAATCATACACAGTACTTGGGAATCTCCTATGTTCAACTAATTCCCCCCTACCCCATCATCACACCGGAATAGGGAGTCCTGTAGCTCAGTGGTTAGAGCACTCCCTTTGCAAGCGAGAGACCTGAGTTCAATTCCAGGCAGAGGGCGAAACCTTGGGCAAGTTTCCTTACTCCACACACCTAATAATAATCCCTCCAAAACCAAAAACAATAATAAATTGGTCATTTTCAATTCATGACTGTTTGTTGGACACTGCTGTGCGCAATTGGCTGCTGCGTTTCTCCCAAAATATACAGTCAATTCACTTTATAGTCTATTCTGTGAAGAGCTTTGAGACATCAATAAGACTTGAAAAGCGCTATATCAAATGCAAGGATTATTATTATTATTATTAATCACAGCTACCCTGAAACACAGACAGTTTGCATGCTTATACTCAGCACCCTAGTGTACCAATTCCAACCCCAAGAATTTCAAATTAATTTGCTATCATTGTTATTATTTGTGAGATTTGCAAATGTAGATTGACTGCCTTGTTTGCTTTCATAACATTAATAGTAAATACAAGTTTATTGTTTATATCCACATTACTTTTTTTCCCCCCGTTTGCGTTATTAATTTAAGAAAATAAATGTGCAGCTTTTCCCCTAATTATGTTGGTTTATGTTCCCTCTTCATCCGAATGTATCCCCAAATTAAATGAATGCCTACTCATCTCATTCATGAAATGTTGCTGGTGCAAATTATTTGCAGTATTTGCCTATGTGACAATATTCACAACATTTCTGATCAATTTTATTTTGTAAAGGAACTTGAAACTTATTTCACATGAAAAGCACTACAAATGCACATTATTTTTGTGGTATCATAAGAGTGAGTAACAGCTTTAAAGAAATATGAAAAACTTTAAAATAAAATTAAAAAAACTCGCATTTGATAATAGCACCTTATCACATTGTCAAAATATCTTGAAGGACCTCACATGATTTACTGTAAAGTACAGTAAGTACTGCATTTTGTACGTGAACATGCGAACTAATTTGAATATAACAATGTCCCACATACAACTATGGTGTGAATGACCAATTTTATCCCTTCACTTGTTGAATAATGCTAAGGTATCTTTAATGTCCACATGAACAGGCAAACAAGACCTCCTTTTGACAATGCAGCACCCCCCAGCATTACACAGACATATCATCCGAAACTATAAGCTCAAAGTCCCCAATGTGGGGCTTATACATTGTTATAATTCAATAGTTAACTAGAATTGAAGACTGTTTCTTGAAAGCTGTATTTCCTAAATAAAAAATAATCCATTATCTTACAGATGAATCTTTTCTTACAACTAGCCTCCAGCCTCTCTCTCTCACACATACACAATCTTTATCGTTCTTCATTGCTTCTCTGAAGATTTCTCTCTTTATCCTCCCAAGCTTCAATTACAATATCGTCCCTGCATCCTCCATCTATTGAAATCAACTCATTTTACTGTCTCCTGCTCCAATTCATTATTTCTCATTACCTCAAAAACGTGGAACTCTACCTCACACTTCCTTTTCTACATTATATTTTCCATATACTATACAGACTTTTTAAAATGCAAACTTGGTGTAACATCAGCACTTCTGTCACACTCCTTTCAATCCATATGGTATCTTGCTCCATTGCCTTTGCCCCTAATCTAAACATTCACAAAAAAAATTATTTGAATTAAAATTAAGTAAAAATAAATCAAATAGCCCAAGTAAGCTTTAACAAGCAAGGTATGTGAAACAATTGGGAAAAAATTGTCTAAATTGAGTACCTTCATAACACTACCTCTTGATGATTTAATACTCCAGCATTACCTTACTGGAAACAAACGCAATCTGGCACAAATATCCTACATTGTAATGCTGAAAATAATGACATTACAACAAAAACAATGAACTGTACAAATTGTTAGTGTAGCAGAAATTTACTTTTTAATCATATGAAGTTCACATCCAAGTTTTGCAGAATATTAATTTTTGTCAGTCAGTATGTTCCCAGTTTTCATTTGCTCGATCTTTATGTAGTTATTCAAATTCATGTGTATACAAAAAAAAGGAATCCTTAAGTGGCAGGTCTGCAGCTGCTAGAAACACCTATTGTACAAATTATCCTAGCCGATTAGTTACTTTTCTACAATAGACCGTATTCCACATAATTTTATCCAAATTTTTAGCAAGGCCAGTATCTGAACTCCTCACTTCTATGTTATTTTCTGCTACTCAGTAAATTTGCTGACCTAGACGGTGTTTACTTATAATGAGATTTTCCTATTAGAAGCACACGCCTCCAAGGTCAGTAAATGTACAGA